ACCCCTTGGAAGGTCGAATGACCCTTTCACAGGGGTCACCTTAGACCATTGGAAATGTCAGATATTTACATTACGATTCATAACAGTAGCAAAATTACAGTTATGAAGAAGCAGAGAAGTGATTTTAGGTTGGGGGTCACCACAACATGAGGAACTGTATTAAAGGGTCACAGCATTAGGAAGGTTTTGAAACACTGCTCTAGAAGGAATAAAATAACCTTCTTCTATATTGGCAATTAGCTGCTTGATGTGGTAAAAGCAAGATATTCCATTTGTAACAGTGACAAGACTTGTAAATAACTTGGGAAATAATTTTAAAGAAAGGAAAGAGGAACTATTCAAAGAAAATTGTATTATTGGGAAATGTGTTATAAAGAAATGGGGAATCATGCTATATCTTATTATAATAAAGGCATTGTCTTCAAAGTTAATACAAAAACAAATTCAATTCCAGCTAGAATGCACAGGAAATTACAAGGACAAATCCAGTGCACTGAGCTTAGTCTACATGAAAATTTTAACTGAGCTATTACACATTGCACTTCAAAGTACAATTTAAATGGATTGAACAATTGGATGGAAAATATAAAACTGAAAAAAATACAAAAGCATATTCGTACATGTGGAAAACCCTATTACCAAAAAAGGAAGCTCTAAATATATCCATCAAGAGAGGGTGATTTTTGGCAAGTCAAAGTTTAAAACTTCTTGTATCACAAAAATATAAAGTTACAGAAAATAGACTTTGAAAATGCTTCTATAAATTGACAAGCAAAAGAAAACTAACATCAGAGAAAATATGCATCAAGTGTGTCTAATTCATATTGTTACAAACTGTCAACTATGGCAGGAAACCAATGCCTGCCTATTGGCAGGGAATGGAAATCAAAGTGCTGCTGGAAAAGTTACTGTAGCAACAGTACTGGCAACAAGAAAGCACAGTGCTGCAAAAGAAGCAGGCTGTGATAATGACATTAACATTAAAACACACATGTCCCGTGAGCAATGGCCCCTCCCCCAGAAAACTGCTCCAGGATGTACGTGTTGGGAGTTTTATGACCTATTTATCCAGGTGAAAATACAAAAACAGAGTCAAATACACTAGGACTGAAATACTCATGAAAACAGTCTAACGCATTTTGACATATCAACACCATGGAATATTACACAATTATTATAAAGGGTAGACTAGGTTTCTGCCAGTTGCTGTGGAAAGGCATTTTGGAGCAAACAAAAATAAGACAAGTGTGGTATGTAGAGGTATATGAACCTAGGTTTTAAAAAATAATTGTATGTATCTCTGTGTACCTCTGTGTGTATGTATGTGTGCCTTATATGTACAGGAGCCTGAGGGGATCCGAAGATGACATCACATACCCTGGAACGGAACTTGGCAGGTCATTGTGAGCTGCCATCTGGGGGTGGGGAACTGAATCAGATCTATACAAGAGCAGCAAATGCTCTGAAATTCCGAGCCGTCCCCTCTATTCCTGTCATCCTTTATTGTTTTTTTTTTAATGATAAAATCCCCAAATAAGCATATATGTGTGTGTGGTATGTGAATATACAAAGTGATAGATACAAACCGAGGAGGCATTGTATCTGCCTGGCCCAGGGGACGAGATGTGGAAGAAGGCAGGGAGAGGCAGAAGCAAGGAAAACGTGTGCTCTGCAGTCACCTGCATGCACACTGTGGTTAATTCACAGACGTTATGTGCAGTTTAGGTGAGTGTCAAGTTTCCTCGGACTTGCTGACTTGTACTGCTGTCCACACACACACGGCTGGAGGTCAGCTCTGGGCAACACTTGAGTTTCACATCTGTGTTGTAGGAGACTCCATCTCCCACCTTATCTGTGGGAATGGTCAGGACAAAGCCATTGTTTGCTGCCACAGAGCCTTCTGCTGCCCAAGTGGGGCTGGAGAAGGGGGTGTGGGTAATTAGCAGCTGCTTTATATATCTTTGTGTGTTTTAGTTCTTAAAAAACCAAATAATATAAGTGAACAAAGCTAACAGCCTAAGGAGCAGAGTGAAGCCCCTCAGCAGGGCTCTGGTGACCTAGGAGATGTACAGACAAACACTTGGCAGCCACTTCAACTTATGTCCCATGCTAGGGAAGGAAAAGGCGGAGATGACGGGCAGGTTTTTAATGTAGCAGATAGGGAGACTTTTTTTTTTTATCTTCCCTTTTTATCCATCTGTGCTGCAGTCACAGGGTCCACAACCACGCTCAGGGAAGAAGGAAGAGTGCTTCCAGGTGCTTCTCCTGTCTTCATGCTGGAATACGGACTCGTGTGAGAACAGGTGCACAACATGATAGAAATACAACATTGGCTTCAGAAGGGGCCCGGCCGAGGCCTCAGGCAGCTTAAATAATCATGATGCCCAAATTTTCCTATCTTACCCTTTCTGTTCCTTGAACAGTTAAAAAAAAAAACAAAAACAAACAAACAAAAAAAAAAACAACAAACACAATGGTAGGATTTTCTCGAGTGACTATAAGAAAAGATAACAAGCAATGCTAATATGTCAAAATTTCAACCAACGAAAGTTCTTCTTTAAAACCAACTGTCAACAGCCACAGACAACGGGAACTGAGAGGCTTGGAGCCGTTGCACTTGTTTGTGAGACTAGGTCGAGCCAGGGGCTAATTCATATATTCAGTCAACAGTACTGAATGCTTACTTTGTACCGGATGTCCTGAGCTGATGGCTATGCCAACTTCCTGCTTGTCATCCAGTTGAAAGGGACAAGCCACAAAACAAGTCAGAGCCAAATACGAACCAAGTAAGGACGGGCCAAATCGTTCTGATTCGGGTTTGCGGACTGAGCATAAGGTTGGCACTGAAGTTGGGCCGTCTAGGCTATAGGGTTTGGGGATTAAATGTCAAGAAACTGCATATTTTGCATGTCTGGGAAGTGATCAGAACTGAGCCCTAAACAAGTGTCCCAGCCTGGGCAAGCCACGGCGGGAAGACAGCACCCAGCTCTGGCGCGCATGCTCAGTGCGCACACAGAGAGAGGGTCAGCCCTGGCCAGACAACCACCTCCTAGGAGTTCAGTTCAGGGAATGAATTCAGTGCATTACCAAGTACCGTGCAGGGTCCAAGTCTCCCATCATCCCTTTCAGATGTGTGTTTTCTGTTCGGACTGCTTTGTATCTTATATCCGAGACCTGAAAGATTAGTAGATAAGAGGCACAAGTGAAACTCACAGCGCAACTCGTCATCTTGTTCTTTAGCTCTGTCCTGTGGGTGCAAAGCCTTTTCTGGGGTGGCGAAAGGGAACCATTCGTCAGGGTCCCCTCTTCCCTCTCCTGGCCTCTCTTCCTGTGTGAGCAGTGCTGGATTTAAACACTTAAATAACGATTTACCTTTTCCCAACAAGTCGGAAATTCCATTTCCCATGTATGGGAACTATAGCCAGAAGAGTCACGATTTTAAAACCCCTTCTTGAGGAGACTGCTCATTACGCTTCTTAACGCCCGATTAACTTTTACAGCAAGCAGTATAGGCTTAATTTGTTCCTTCTGGTGTTTTGGCCATGTTTCCTTGCCTGCCTATGACTTCATTTTGTATCTTTCTTTTTTCTTTCCCTGATTTCTACCTGAAGGTTGGGAGGCCAGATGTGTGCCTCTAATCCTGGCCTGCTCTTTTGTATAGCTAAGGCTCATTTTTTTTGTTATAAAACTCTCGCTTTATAAAGATTTACTTTTGTAAGTTATAGAATATATGTTCATGGACAAAATCTAGGAAACATGGCCATATGAAAATGAAAATGAGTCTCATTCATGCGCAGCTGCCCACTCTGCCAGCTGCGTGTCCTCTGCCCGTGCATCGCCCCGTCGCCATTTTCCTGGGTACGGTACAGATTGGTCAGTGTAAGGCCTGGGACTGGATGGAGGCCTACTCTTTCTAGTTTTTGTAAATACACATGGTTTAACTGCTCTTATGCAGATTGTTTTGGTTCATGTTTTGTGTGCCTAGATTTAGAATGAAAAGGCCATAAAGCCCGTGCTGTCAAAAGCAGGCTACAAATTTGATTATTCGTAAGAGAGCAGGGAAATTTAAAGACTAAATAGGGAGGGAGGGTGTACATGAGCGGCCCTTAACGGATGAACCTCGCAATCTCTGCTCGTCTCTGAGGACAAGCTGTGTGCTGGATGGATGTTTAATCTGCAGCCTCCATGTTTAAAACACTAATGGCAGTCTATTAAATGTGTGTGTGTGTGTGTGTGGGGGAAGCGTTAGTGGAAAGGGCCTATTGAAAACACCCGCAAAGGAAGCAGGGTACATGTGATGTGGGAAGACAGCTGCAGGAGAATGCCGGCGTGGGACTGATCACCCTTGCACGCCCTGTCTTTAGTTTCTTTGATGATGCTTTGTGGTATGGCACAGGATTTTAGAGGCACCGCAAAGCATCTCTGACACCAAATCTCAGACACTGACCCCGAGCACCCAAGGCTCTTGACAGACAAGGAGGGCTAGGACTGAGCAGGAGTCAGCCCTGGAGAGTGCTTTCCTGCCTGCATACCTGTTGCTTTGTTAACATTTTTTCTTTTATTTCTAATTCTATCTTTAGCTGTCTTTCCAGAAGGGCAGCTTTCTTCATGACAGTTGCTATAGTGATCTCCTTCTGGTGAAGTTCCTGGGTGAGGTCAGAGATCTCATTCCTCATGCGTTCCTGTTCGGAGCATCGGTCTTCCTCCTGATAGAGCTGGCTTCTCATCTGCAGAGAGAGTGACCCAGACACATGAACCCTCTCACTCAGGGAACAGCTGCAGCTTGGGCTGGACGCCCTCAGTCCTCCTGCCCTAGGATGTCTGCGGTCCATGGCACCCCTTTCTGACCAGTGCTGACGGACAAGCACCTCACTAAGTTCACAGTTTCCTCCCCACCCCCAAAGTCCATTGCTTTCTTGTCATGTGTAAAGTGTCACTAGGGACTCAGCTTTGCTACAGACTTGACAGAAATTGTTACTTTGTTTTGTTTTTTGAGGCAGGGTCTACCTCCACAGCCCAGACTGTCCATTATCTTTGGATCCTCATGCCTTGGCCTGTGAAGTTTTGGGATTATGGGTGTACACCACCAAGTCTGGACATCAGGACCTACTTATGGAGGAAAAAAAAAGGACCTATGAAGGGTAAGCAACTTGCTCCAATCATACAAGAGTAAGTGTCAAATTTGAGACTAGAACTCACAGTTCTTGGCTTTAATTAAAGTTTTTAAAAAATGAAACAAAGTGTAAATCCCACTGTGCCAGCTGTGACTCCACACTGCATCTCAGAACCAATAAACAACTAAGCACACTGTGTTGGTTAGAATGCCTTCCTGGCTTCTCAGGACCCCTCGGAGTCATCATCACTCACGGAGATCTCCTAACAGGACCTGTGGGACCTGGACTCCTCACCACCCCCAACTGTCCAAATCTAGCCCAGTTCACTCTCTGGGCTCTTCTGTTCTCTATTCCTGTTACTCCCTCCTTGGTCTCACCCCCCAGCATTGTTTTAAAGACTGCCCCTGCTTCTCACGCTTGTTCACACTCCCCTGCATCGTTCTGAAGACTACCCCCTGCTTCTCACGCTTGTTCACACTCCCCTGCATTGTTTTAAAGACT